GGGCTCGTCCTTGCCCTACTGGATGTGAACGAGGGCAGATGTGACCCAGTGAACTGCTGGCACCGTCTTGAGACCACATGGAGGAAGTCGAGGGGAGAGCTGAGCCTGATGACATTATCTGAACCACTGAATCAAGCTGGTAGGTGAGGGATGCTTATTCCTCGCTGCTAATGTGACATCCATGAAAAGGACACCACTTTAATGCAGCATTCCTGGTTTCACTCTGCCCTCGATCATTCCCCTCTTGCAGGAATTCATCAGATGGGTCTGTTTGGGAAGAATAAACGGGGCGTTATACCCACGTCCCCCTCCTCTCACAGGCGCCCACGTTTTCCTTGCCAATTCTGGGAGAGGAATCTCTCTGGGAAGAGACCTGCTCTGGTCCAATGTTGCTGATGCTGGAGGTGTGAGTTAATTCTGGAGTCTGGTATCAGAAAGTACACGTGCCTGCAAAAATAAGGCACATCTCCCAACCTAGTTCTTACCAGTAACAAAGGCCCTCCTCTTTTCAGTTACTTGCATTATTTCTCCTTGTTTCCCCTTGTTTCACACTCTAGGCAAGGAAGATTCATTGGGTCCCTGAGAGATGTCATCACAGGCATTCTTGCCAATATCTCTTAGCTGTTCATTTAAGTAATTAGAGCGTCCTCCCTCATTCTCCTCCCTTCTCTCATCTCCTTAAAGTCTAAAGAATCCTACTTGAGGGCTTCCCTGGCGGCTGGTTGGGAGATCCCAATAAAGGGCAACTGCAATTGGGAGATTGGAATTGACATACATACACTATTGATACTATGTATAAAATAGATAACTAATAAGTACCTATTGTATAGCATAGGGAACTCTACTTAATGCTCTGTGGTGACCTAAATGGGAAGAAAATCCAAAAAAGAGGGGATATATGTATACTTATAGCTGATTAATTTTGCTGTACAGTAGAAACAACATTTTAAAGCAACTATACTCCAAAAAAGATGTTAAAAAAAAAAAAAAAAAAAAGTATGTCTGAAAAAAAAAAAAAAAAAAAAAAAGAATCCTACTTGATATAAGGATGAGGCTGAAGGTCTGCTATCCTGTGGGTATAGGCTATAAGACCAAAAATTATACATGTCATCTCATTTGGACCCCCAGACTGCCCTAGCCCAGAAGACCTTCAGATCATATTATTATGAGTTGAAGAATTTGGTGGGGGGGAAGGAGTGGAAACATAAACATTCAAAGCATTAAGAGCATAGGCTGACCAACATTTATTTTCTATATTGAGAACTCCTGT